GTGAACAGTAAAATCAGCAATGAATTTGCTCTTTTATAACGAGATTATGAATATATCACTGCGCTGGCAAGCGCAAAGGTGGCCCGCGAAAACTCAACCGCTTGCCAAAACGCAGTAATAAGAAATATGGACGCCCTTTGGGACTAGGATGATATGAAAAAGTGTGTCACCTGAAAACTTCAAGAGGCTATTGGTTTGGAAATTAGAGCACCGACTTGTTTTGCAATAATTCAGACCAATGCCGAGGAGGGTAGAGGTGGAGAGATCGTTTTTGACCAAAGTTTATAACTTCGAAATAGAAAAAAAAGTTCAGAACTACACAAATTTGACTCCAAAGACGGATTCTGAGCGAAAAAAATGCTAATTTTCAGGAAAGCAAATCGTCTGAACTTTATTTTGTTATATAGCAAATTTGCTGCATCTCAAATTGAACGTGTATACATTTCAGAGGCTGAAAATTGAGATAAGACAATTTTCAAAATTCCGGTCTGGCGGATGCTATGTTTTATTTTGAAACTTCAAACTGTACTGTCCGACTGCTCTTATCAAGTCACATCAAATGACATAAAAAAAAAGTTGACTTCATCACGTCATGGGTGACGTTGTGACGTAAAAATGATCAACCATACGACCAGCTGCCGACAATGCATATATGGATAGCTCAACGAAAATCCTTGATGAACGCTGCCGCCTCGAAGAGTTCAATTGTCCCCGACAACATGATGATTGATGAACGACTGATTATTTATTGAGGAATGAAAATTTGAATTCATTTACGATAGTTATCAACTTCCGTGACAAGGCGTGTTTCCTTCTTGTTTTAAAATTACCCAAAAGCATTTGTACCAAAAAGATTCAAATTTGTTGACCAAAAACTAATTAGAAATTAGATGGCCTTCAAAGGTGACCCTTTTATATATTTGAAGTGACCACCTTTGCATGCATGAGTAACGCCAAATTTTCTCAGTACTCACAGTTATTTTAATTTTCCTTTTGGTAGCTAATTGTAGAAGTCGCAAATTTAAGTGTTTATAGAGCATACTGTTCAATTCGATGTTCAGCAGACCCATAGTGACTTAGTAGCTGCCGACACTGACTGACTGACTAACTGGCTACTGATATAGTGACTGATTAACTGACTAGACTGGCTGGCTGGCTGACTGAATGACTGAGTGACTTACTGAGGGACTGAATGACAAAACAAATTTATCCGATTTATTGAATGACTGATTAAACAGAATGGATAACTGATTCTTACAGATTTATTCATTGTTTTAGACATATGACATACTGACTGACTGACTGACTGAGGGACTTATAGGTACTAAGTTAGTAGCTTACTGTTCTCTATCTGATCAACTGACTGATTGACTGACTGTCTCGATGTGTGGCTAAATTTTATATCGATTCAACTCACTCATTATAGGCTCACTGAGTGAGTGTTGTTGGGTTTTTGATAAAATGCCCTTTCTTTGTTTTTTCCAAGATCCAAATTGTAGTTCGTGCTGTAAATATCTGGCATTATTCATGCATGCAAAGGTAGTGTCACTTCAAATACATAAAAAGTGCGACCTTTGAAGGCCAACTGATTTCTAATTAGTTTTTGGTCAACGAATATGTTTATATATGTTTATATAGACATAAATATTAATACACTAAAATATACTCATAAATACATATTCATTAAAACGCGTATACTTATACACACACACACACACACACACACACACACACATATAATATATATATATAATATATATATATATAATATATATATAATATAATATATATATATATACTATATACATTTATATATACATATATATATATGTATGTATATGTATATGTATATATATATACATATATATATGTATATATATATATATGTATATGTATATGTATATGTATATATATATATATGTATATATATACATATATATATATATTGTCTATGTATATATATACATATATATAATACGTATACATATACATACATACATATATATATACATATATATGTATATATATACATATACAT